TAAATAAAATAATTCTTAAAAAAATTTTTTTCTTCTAAGAAACCTGAGTGATTTCTGTTTGCCTCTCTCTTTATCTTTTCCAGTATGTGCACACACCCTATGGCAAAAATCTAAAAAATGTAACAAACTGCTGTCCAGAAAAGTTGTCCCAGTCCGTTTTTTCGTATGTATTAGCATATGATTGTTTTCCTTTTACCACATTGCTTTTCTTACTTTTTTTTTTTAGGATGGAGACAGTGAAATATTGTAGTTAGAAGTATAGATTCTGGGGACTGGCAGGTGGTGTGGTGGTTAAGGGGGCTGGATTCCCACATGGCTGACTGCAATTTGAAAGGTGGACCTGGTAGCTTGCTGTCTCACTTTCTCTCTTTCCCACTCTGTCCCTCTCTGGTCAAATTTAAATAAATAAGTAAATAAATGGATAAATAAAGGTAAATAAAATAAGTTTTTTAAAGTATAGGTTTTGCAGCCAGACTACCTGGGAATCACATATTAATAATTGTATAACTTTGAGCAAGTCACTTAATCTTTCTGTGCCTCAGTTTAACCATCTGTAAAACTTTAGTAATATTGGGGTCCGCAGGTGGCATGATAGTTAAGGCACTGGACACTCCCACATGGCCGATCACAGGTCAAGTCCCAGACCTGTTGGCTTGCTTTTTCTTTTTTTTGGAGAGGTTTTTGCTATAGGGTGGGTGTGCTTGCCAGAAAAACAAGAGACAGAGAGATAGAAAGCGAGAAATCACCCCCCAGGGGGGATGGCCACGCCGCAATCCCTTCTCCATTCTCCTCTTGGGATCTTGGGCATGCACGCACATGCGCCCAGTGTGAGTTTAATCCCCCGGTTCCAAGACTCGAACCGTGGCCCACTACATGGGAGTCCAGCAACATAGCCATTATGCTAACTGCTGGTCCCATGTTGGCTTGCTTTCTCACTTACTCTCTCTGTGTCTCTCTCTCACTGGTCAAATTAAAATGAGTGAATTAATGGATAACATTAAATGAATAATTATTTTAAAAATAACCATTAGGGAAAAAAAAACTTGGGACTTGAACTGGATGGGGGCTCCAGAAAACTCATGGATTCTTTCTCTCTGGACTCTATCACCCAGGTTCACAGATGGAGCAAAACTGTTGTTTCACCTGCGCCAGCTGCTGAAAGAGTTGAAAGGATTGAGTGACTTGGTTAGCTATCAGGATGACCCTCTGACCAAAGGAGTGGACCTGCGGAAGGCCCAGGTCACAGAGTTGCTGCAGCGTCTGCTCCACAGGTCTAGAGGGGGTCTCAAGGAAGAAAGACAGAGGGAAGGAACAAGGGGCATCAATCTTGCAGACACTGAGCTATATATTCTCTTCACACACCTCTTTCCAGAGCCTTCGTGGTCGAAACCCAGCCCTGCATGCCCCAAGTTCCCCATCGACCCCTCATCCTCAAGACTGGGAGCAAGTTCACCGTCCGAACAAGGTTGGTACTTCAGAACTTGTCACTGCTTCCTTTTCCAACCCTGCCTCTGTACACTCTTTGGCCTGACAGATCTTTGTGCACTTGGCCTTTTCTTCTCCTGTTCCCCCTCACCCACCTACCTCTGCTGATCCCTTCTCTTACCTTTTCAACCATCTGGCCTCTCCAGGAGGTTGAGGTTGACTGCCTTCCCCCATCTACCACCCTTTCCCCCAGGCTGCTAGTGAGACTCCAGGAAGGCAACGAGTCGCTGACGGTGGAAGCCTCCATCGACAGGCAAGTTGGGGCAGGTGAAGGGTGGGACCGAGAGGTGGCCAGCATTTGGGCTGGCTAGTGAGGTGGAGGAGAAACCCACTTTACAGCAGGGCCCTAGAGCTGTCTTCTTCCTTTTCCATTCCTACCTCATAGAGATAATAACTTACCTCTTTTGTTGAGCACTTACTATGTGACATGCAGCATGTCTAGTGCTCACTTAACCATCCAAACAACCCCATGGGTTAGTATTACCAGTGTTCCATACAAATGAGAAAATGGGCTCACAGAGATAGTGGCTTGCTTTTTTTTTTTTTTGGAGAGGTTTTTGCTATAGGGTGGGTGTGCTTGCCAGAAAAACAAGAGACAGAGAGATAGAAAGCGAGAAATCACCCCCCAGGGGGGATGGCCACGCCGCAATCCCTTCTCCATTCTCCTCTTGGGATCTTGGGCATGCACGCACATGCGCCCAGTGTGAGTTTAATCCACCGGGTCCAAGACTCGAACCGTGGCCCACTACATGGGAGTCCAGCAACATAGCCATTATGCTAACTGCTGGTCCCATGTTGGCTTGCTTTCTCACTTACTCTCTCTGTGTCTCTCTCTCACTGGTCAAATTAAAATGAGTGAATTAATGGATAACATTAAATGAATAATTATTTTAAAAATAACCATTAGGGAAAAAAAAACTTGGGACTTGAACTGGATGGGGGCTCCAGAAAACTCATGGATTCTTTCTCTCTGGACTCTATCACCCAGGTTCACAGATGGAGCAAAACTGTTGTTTCACCTGCGCCAGCTGCTGAAAGAGTTGAAAGGATTGAGTGACTTGGTTAGCTATCAGGATGACCCTCTGACCAAAGGAGTGGACCTGCGGAAGGCCCAGGTCACAGAGTTGCTGCAGCGTCTGCTCCACAGGTCTAGAGGGGGTCTCAAGGAAGAAAGACAGAGGGAAGGAACAAGGGGCATCAATCTTGCAGACACTGAGCTATATATTCTCTTCACACACCTCTTTCCAGAGCCTTCGTGGTCGAAACCCAGCCCTGCATGCCCCAAGTTCCCCATCGACCCCTCATCCTCAAGACTGGGAGCAAGTTCACCGTCCGAACAAGGTTGGTACTTCAGAACTTGTCACTGCTTCCTTTTCCAACCCTGCCTCTGTACACTCTTTGGCCTGACAGATCTTTGTGCACTTGGCCTTTTCTTCTCCTGTTCCCCCTCACCCACCTACCTCTGCTGATCCCTTCTCTTACCTTTTCAACCATCTGGCCTCTCCAGGAGGTTGAGGTTGACTGCCTTCCCCCATCTACCACCCTTTCCCCCAGGCTGCTAGTGAGACTCCAGGAAGGCAACGAGTCGCTGACGGTGGAAGCCTCCATCGACAGGCAAGTTGGGGCAGGTGAAGGGTGGGACCGAGAGGTGGCCAGCATTTGGGCTGGCTAGTGAGGTGGAGGAGAAACCCACTTTACAGCAGGGCCCTAGAGCTGTCTTCTTCCTTTTCCATTCCTACCTCATAGAGATAATAACTTACCTCTTTTGTTGAGCACTTACTATGTGACATGCAGCATGTCTAGTGCTCACTTAACCATCCAAACAACCCCATGGGTTAGTATTACCAGTGTTCCATACAAATGAGAAAATGGGCTCACAGAGATAGGCTGTCTCTTTTGCAAAGCCACATAGCTGGTGAGCTGCAGAGTCAGGTTTGAACCCGGAAATCTGGTCCCAGAGACCAGATTTCCAACATTTATACTCTTTTTGCCTCACATTGATTTGTTTATATGTTTGTGATTTCTTTTCAGGAGTCCTCCTCAGTTACAAGGGTAGGTGCCTGACAAGACACTCCAAACACTGCATGGCCTGCTCACCACGTTTGCAGCCCTGGTGGGAACATGAACAAGAAGGAGGAGCATTTGGGTGGAACATGAACGCAGGGAGAAGTGAAGTGGGACTGTTGTTTCCCTGCTGAGTTTTTAGAATAACTCTGCTCCTTGTCTCCACATATCTTTTTCCTCCTGGAACAGCTTCCGGAAGTTCAACCTTCTGACCTCAAACCAGAAAACGCTGACCCCTGAAAAGGGACAGAGTCAGGGCCTAATTTGGGACTTTGGTTACCTGGTAAGAAGGATAAGTCATTTCTGCTTCTAGTCAAAAGGAATAGGGGCTGGGAGGAGTTCCTAGGCCTTGACAGGTCTTGAGGCAAAACAGGGGTCCCATTACTCTGGGGTCTCCACTCTGGCATTCTCCCCTTTTCCTCAATTTGCAGACCCTGGTGGAACAACGTTCAAGTGGTTCAGGAAAGGGCAGCAATAAGGTGAGGCCTGGAAGGGCTGGTGGGCAGGAGGAACTTGCAAAGGCTCTCTGACCACTGTGCCTTTGGCTGTCCCAGGGGCCACTAGCTGTGACAGAAGAACTGCACGTTATCAGCTTCACGATCAAATACACGTACCAGGGTCTGAAGCAGGAGCTGAATGTGAGTGAAAATGGAGGGGAGGAAGAGCTGAGGCAGATTTGAAAGAAGGCGTGAGGGGGGTTGAATCCAAGCCTCTCGGGGTGGGGTACCAACTCTCACCCTACCAAATGTCTACAGCTTGTAACAGAAAAACATTACAAGCCCCTCTGTGACTGCTGTCTTTCCCCCAGACGGACACCCTCCCTGTGGTGATTATTTCCAACATGAACCAACTCTCAATTGCCTGGGCCTCTGTTCTCTGGTTCAACCTGCTCAGCCCAAACCCCCAGGTAGGAAGTGGGCCCAACAGGTGAAGGGTAGAGAGGAGGGATGTAGATGTGGTGTGAGAGGGCTGCCTCTGAGCCCTCCTGCCCCTCTCTCACCCCTGTAGAACCAGCAGTTCTTCTCTAGCCCCCCTAAAGCCCCCTGGAAGTTGCTGGGCCCTGCTCTTAGCTGGCAGTTTTCCTCCTACATTGGCCGAGGCCTCAACTCGGAGCAGCTGGGCATGCTGAGGGACAAGCTATTTGGTATGGATCTTCCCCTCTCCCATCCTTTCCCCAGCTTTGGTGTGCCTCGGCCTTCTGTCCTACCAATCCCGGTACCCCTGGCCTTGCCTCCTCTGTCATCTGAACTGTCTGTGGCCATCTGTCCCGCAGGGCAGGATTGTAAGACTGAGGATGCATTGCTGTCCTGGGCTGATTTCACTAAGGTAACTCCCTGCCCCCTGTGCAGCCAGACCTAGTCCCTATCCAAATATTGGAACTTCAGACTGGCAGATGGCATGATGGTTAAGATGTTGGACTCCCAGGAACCAGCAGTTAGCGTAATGGCTATGTCGCTGGACTCCCACGTAGTCGACCGCGGTTCGCGTCCTGGACCCGGTGGCTTCAAACTCACGCTGGGCGCGTGTGCGTGCGTGCCCAAGATCCCGAAAGGAGAATGGAGGAGAAGGGATTGCGGCGTGACCATCCCCCCTGGGGGGGTGATTTCTCACTTTCTGTCTCTCTGTCTGTCTCTGTCTGTCTGGCAAGCGCATGTGCCCTATAGCGAAAATCTCTCCAAAAAAAAAAAAAAAAAAAATATTGGACTCCCACATGGCCAACCATGGTTTCAGTCCCAAACCTGGCAGCTTGCCTTCTCACCTTCTCACTGTCTCTCTTTCTCTGTTTCTTTCTCTGGTCAAATTAAAGAAGATAGATATATAGAGAGAGATGATAGATAGATAAATAAGTAGAATAAAAAATTAAAAAAAAGAATACTCAAAAACTGGGCCTTCCCCCCTCACCCCTTCCCCACACCAGGGGCAACTCCACACCTCTTCCTGTCTCTCCATTCTTCCTTCAGCGAGAGAGCCCTCCTGGCAAGCTACCGTTTTGGACATGGCTAGACAAAATTCTGGAGCTGGTACATGACCACCTGAAGGATCTTTGGAATGATGGGTAAGGCCTCTGTCAACCTTCCCAGTGCTCTCTGGGCTTGGGAGTGGCAAACAGGAAAAGAAATGTGTGTGTGGTCCTCCTCTCAGATTTATAGTAGTAGCAGTTGTAGCCAATATTTGTCAAGCATTTGTTCTAGAGCCTGCGGGCTACTCTTTGTGAATGCCTTCATTTCATCCTTACAACTACAAGTGGTGGGTGTTGGCGCCTTCATTTCAAGTGAGGAAACGGTCTCAGAGAAGTTAGAGAACTTGGTCCAGGGACAGCTACCATGCAAGTCCGAACCTATGTAACTCCAGGCCCACGCTCTCTCCACCACACTGCCTAGCGATTTATTTGTACAGTACTTGGTCTCATAAGTGCTTTCCATCCGTGTGATCTCCTACTTCCAACTCTGGGACAGTGGGTATTGGTAATAAAATGCAGAGAATTGGCCAAGATGGAATAGTTTGTAAGTGGCAGACTAGGGCCCAAACCTGGCATTCTCTCCCCATTCTAGGGGGTGTAGGGTGTGAGGTCTCCTAGCTGCTTTCTGTGCTCCAGACACATCATGGGCTTTGTGAGCCGGAGCAAGGAGCGGCGGCTGCTGAAGAAGACCATCTCTGGCACCTTCCTACTGCGCTTCAGTGAATCATCAGAAGGGGGCATTACGTGCTCCTGGGTGGAACACCAGGACGATGGTCAGTGCTCTGCCCTGAGATTCCCCCAACCTGTCCTTTCTGCCTTCTGCTCCTCTGCCTGCCCTCGATACCCCTGGCTCTGTCCTGAATCCCTCAGCAGGTCTGGACTTGGGCAGCCGGGATGGAGTGCCCAGGCCCAGCCTCTTTCCTCAAGCGTACCTATTTTTGCATCCGCTCTCCAGATAAGGTGCTCATCTACTCCGTGCAGCCCTACACCAAGGAGGTGCTACAGTCCCTCCCACTGACCGAAATCATCCGCCACTACCAGCTGCTCACCGAGGAGAATATACCTGAGAACCCACTGCGTTTCCTCTATCCCCGAATCCCACGGGATGAGGCTTTTGGGAACTACTACCAGGAGAGAGGTGGGAATCATTGATGTACTTCATTGCTTGGTTGCAGGGTTCTTCAGAGATCCATACATTTTACTCCTTCCTTTCAAACATGGGATATCCAACATGCACAGAAACAGAGGGATTTGTCCACACAGTGCTGCTAGTTCATGGACATGACTCTCAGACCATCTGCACTAGGGAACCCTGGTCTATGAGTGCGACTCACTGACCTCCCCCCTCCTGCCTATGTTCCCCACAGTTAATCTCCAGGAACAGAAGAAATACCTGAAGCATAAGCTCATTGTGGTCTCCAACAGGTGAGATATGAACTCTGTGTCATCCTCCCTAATTCTTTTAGCTGGGATACTGACTCTGGTCTGCCCATTTCCAGGCTTCCCAGCGTCTTTCCCTCCTAACTCACTCTCTCTAGCCTCTCGCTTTTCCTTATCCTAGCATATTTCCTCTCTCATACTTCCCTGCTGCCATCCTTAGGTTATCTACAGGGATTACCTGATAATGTCATGATCACTTGTGTTAATAAGCATGTACTTGATGCCAGGCACAATGCTAGTTTTGTGGGGGAGGGGGGGTTTCTGTTTTTTTATTTGTTGGTTTGGTTTTTAATTTGCTATGGGACATGTGCATTTACTGGAGAGACAGAGGAGTGAAAGTGAGAAAGCACATCACAGAGGGGATGGCCGCACCACCGTCCCTTATCCTCCATTCTCCTTTCAGGATTTTGGTAACACATGCACATAGGCCTGGCATGTTTGTTAAGCTGCCAGGCTGGGACTTGAACCATGTAGTTGGCCATGTGGAATCTAGCCACCTTAACTATCATGCAACTGGCCAGCTTTTTAGTTGTTTTTGCTGGTTTTTTGTTGTTGTTGTTTTTAGGTTCTTGCCATAGAGTGCATACACTTGCTGGAGAGAGAGACAGAGATAGGGAAAGTGAAAAATTACCCCCAGGAGGGATGTCCACACCACAATCCCCCTCCTTCATTATCCTCTTGGGATTTGGGGCATACATGACATGTCCATTTTCAAGCTGCTGGGTCTGGGACCTGAACCACTGTTGGCCACGTGGGAGTCCAGCTCCTCAAACATCTTGCCACTTGCTGGCCCTGTCCCACTAGATTTTTCTTTCTTTCTTTCTCTCTTTCTTTCTTTCTTTCTTTCTTTCTTTTTTTTTTTTTTTTTTTTTTTTTTTTTTGAGAGGTTTTTGCTGTAGGTCACGTGCGCTCACCAGAAAGACAAAGAGAAACAAGAGACAGAAAGCAAGAAATCATCCCCCCCAGGGGGGATGGCCACACCGCAATCCCTTCTCCTCTGTTCTCCTCTCGGGATCTTGGGCACGCACGCACATGCACCCAGTGCGAGTTTAAGCCACCGGGTCTGGGACTCAAACTGTGGTTGACTACGTGGGAGTCCAGCGACATAGCCATTACACCAACTGCTGGTCTCAGTCCCACTAGATTTTTAAAGAACATTTTTGTCTGTTTAATCCCTATGAGAATCCATTGGAGTAGATAATAACAATGGCCACGTTTATTGAAAGCTTATTGTGTTCCAGGCACTGAGCTAAACGCCTGCTATTCATTTACTCATTTCTTGAATCTTCACAATAGTCCTGTGAGTTTAATACTGTTATTGTTTTTGGATGAAGAAACTGAGGCTTACAGTGGTAAAGTGACATACCTAAGATACATGGCTGATGAGTGACCAGGTCTGTCAGATTCGACAGCCCTGCTTTTAACCATCCTACTGCCTCTCAAGAATATTATATATTGTTATTTCATTTCAGATGATAAATCTGAGGTTCAGAGTAGTGAGCCAACTTGCCTAAGATTTCCCAACTACTAAATAATAGGATTCTAACTCTAGGAAGCCTGATTCCAAAGCCCACCTGCTTTAGCTCTCTGCCTTACTGTCTTCTCAACTAAAGAGATGACCTCTGTTTGCTCTACCATTACCCACTTCTCCTAATAAAACACTGAACCCTAACCCCTTTGTTTCTTTTGGGATATCCAGACAGGTGGATGAGTTGCAACAACCACCGGAGCTTAAGCTGGAGCCAGAACAGGAATCGTTAATCCAAGAGATGATACCAGAGCTAGGAGTAGGCCTGGGGTTAGAGCCCCTGCTGGTAGCAGGGCTGGATCTGGGGCCAGCACTGGAGCCCGTGCTGGAGCCCACCCTGTGCATGAGGACACTAAACATGTCAGAGTCAAGCCTGAGTCCAACATCACAGCCAGAGCCTGAGCCAGATTTGCCCCACGATCTGAGACACTTGAACACCGATGGGATGGAAAGTAAGTGATGGCATGGGGCTAGGGAAGAGGGGACACCCTCCCTTCCCACCTCCCTTCTCTCATTCATTGTAGAAAAGACTGAGTTCCTAGCACTTCATTGAGATGAGGCTCATTTCCTCATTATCTCATTTTTTCTTTAGTTTTAAAGAATTATTTTTATTTAACTTTATTCATTTTTTTAAAGAATTATTTTTATTTAACTTTATTCATTTTTTAAAGAATTATTTTATTTTACTTTATTTATTCATTCATTCATTCATTTCGATTTGACCAGAGAGAGAGACATACACATCACATACACACAGATAGATAGAGAGGGAAAGTGAGAAAGCAAGCCACCAGGTCCAGGATTTGAACCCTTGTCAGCCATGTGGGAATGTCCAGCACCTTAACCACCACACCACCTGCTGGTCCCAACTTTATTAATTTTTAATTTTGACCAGAGAGGGACAGAGTGAGAGGGAGAGAGGGAAAGTGAGAAAGCAAGCCGCCACGGTTGGCTATGTGGGAGTTCAGTGCTCTTAACCACCATGCTACCTGCTGGCCCCTTCTTGTTTTTTTAGAGAGATTTTTGCTATTGGGCATGTGTGCTCACTGGAGAGACAGAGAGACAAAAAGTGAAATATCCCCAGTGGGTATGGTCATGCCACAGTTCCTTCTCCTCTACTCTCCTCTTGGGATTTTGAGCACACATGTACACGTACCCAGCGTGAATTTCAAGCCACCGGATCCGGGACTTGAACCATCATCAACTATGTAGTAGCCCAGCAACATAACCATTACACCATCTGCTGGTTCCCTCATGAATTCTTTTTTTTTAAATTAATTATTTTATTTATTCATTCATTTATTTTAACTTGACCAGACAGATATGAGAGAGAGAGAGGGGAGAGAGAGAGAGAGAGAAAGTGAGAAAGCAAGCCTCTAGGTCCAGGACTCGAACCATGGTCGGCCATGTGGGAGTGTCCAGCACCTTAACCACCACACCACCTGCTGGTCCCATGAATTCTTTTATTCGGAAATGCACACACTTCCCTCCAACTCATTATGTCTCCATTCTACCAAGATCCCCTTAAGGCCCTGGCCTTTCCTGTCATCCTCACTTTTCCTGATAGATTAGAAACCACACTGAGATCTTAGCCTGATTTCTCTTTTCTGATTACCTAGTCTTCAGAAATTGTGTAACGATTGAAGAAATCATGCCAAATGGAGACCCGCTACTGGCCAACCAGGACACCGTGGATGAGTCCTACATCTCCGGCCCCAGCCATTTCTACACTGATGGACCCTTGATTCCTTCTGACTACTAGAAACTGCGCCTGCTCATTCTTTCTATACCTCTTGCCCCTCTGACCTCCCTACATCAGCTGTTGCTCTCGAAGGGACAGGAAGTGAGATGTAACCCCTCCTCAGTGGAATTAACCCTGGGCTTTGGGTTGAGAGGCGAAAACATAACATGGGTACAGAAGGGGCACCAACAAATCAGAACAGGTTCTGACTGTAATTCTAAATAGGACCCTGTAGGCTGCCTGTTGGGCTGGAAGGTGAAGGGGTCATGGGGGCAGGCCGGCATGGTTAGGAGGTACTTGGAGGGCTCAGGGGATTGGCTTCTTTCCAGTATGGAAGAATTTCAACATTTTAGTAGCTGTAGGGGCTGGCAGGTGGTTAAGACACTGGACTCCCACATGGCCAACCATGGTTCAAGTCTCGGACCTGGCAGCTTGCTTTCTCACTCTCCTCTCTCTCTTTCTCTCCCTATCTCTCTGTGGTCAAATTGAAGGATAATAATGACAGATAAAATTAAATAAATAGTTCAAAAATTTTTTTAAAAAAACCACAACATTTTAGTAGCTGTTAAGGCTGGCTAAACTGATACATACTAGCTTAGGCCCTTGGTGGGAAGTACAGACATGATAGGACTCCATTTTTCTCTTCTGACTTTTTTTTTTTAATAAGTTTTTGCTGTAGGGGACATGGCTTGTTAGAGATAGGCAGAGAGAGGGAAAATGAGAAATCATTCCCGGGCGGAATGGCCATGCTATAATCCCTTCTCCAGTTTCCTCAGGATTTTGGGTATCCACACACACATCCCTGGCATGGTTTTTAAGACTCTGGGTCCAAGACTAAAACTGTGCTATCAGCCATGTGGAATCCAGTGCCTTAACCATCATGCCACCAGCTGGTCCTCTTCTGATTCTTTTATGTCTAGGGAAACTTTTTCCATTCTTTTTCTGAATCCTGATTCAAGTCCTAAATTTCTACTTTTCCTGCAGAGGCTAAGAGTTTTCTGTCTCATCCCATCATGTAGAACGCCACCCTTGGGGAGCAGGTGGTATTGTGGTTAAGGCGCTGGACTCCCACATGGCCAATTGTGGTTCGAATCCAGACCTGGTGGCTTACTTTCTCACTTTCCCTATTTCTCTTTCTCTCTCTCTCTCTCTCTCTCTCTCTCTCTCTCTATATATATATATATATATATATATATATATATATATATGTGGTCAAGTTAAAAATAATAATAAATAAAATAATTATTAAAAAAAGAAAACAAAATTTAAAAAATAGTAAAGCTCCACCCTGAAGATAGGGAGAAGTAGACCTCCTCCCCTGCCCTGTCCCCTTAGAGAACTACATGCATTTCACCTCCATAAAATGATATACCAATCTGACATGCCTGTGAAGCTGTGCATACTATTTGTACTACCTAGTCTCCACTTCCCTCGTGCTTAGGTAAGAAATCACTACTGGAGACCAGGGATGGTAGGGTTGCTAGGAATTTAGGAATTGCTTTTTATAGTATTGGATAGTGTTTAGTGTTTTTACAGAGAAAGATTAAGTGGTAGTAGGTCTTAGCTCTTTCTCTATTAACCTATCATCCCCTTTCTTTGGTCCAATATATTGTTTACCTGAAAGAAAGGTTGCTATCCCTTGGCCCTTGATGGGAAGCACAGACCTGTGCACCGGGTAAAGATCAAGTTCCTGGAACTTAGAACCTTGAAGGCTTATCATAGGACTTCGGACAACTTTATTCCATTCCCAGGGGAGGCCAGGGGGCAACTGTCACTGCTCTAAGATGTGCTTCTGGTGTGACTTGAGTTATAAATGGAATCTAGGCCCTGCACATGAACAAGTCAGTTCAGAAAGGGGCCCTTCTAAGCAGAAATGGCTAATAAACTTCGCGCTGACCTACAAATGTTTCATCTCTGAATGTGTTTACTTCTCTGCTCACAAAGACCAACGTTCTCAGGGACACCAACAAGCCATATTGTAATGAGGTCTGTAAATCCTGGCCTCTCTTCCATCCACCTCAGTATGCCCTTCTTATCACATTTCTCCTTTTACTTACTTATTTTTAGTTTGTTACAGGGTATGTGTGCTCACCAGAGGAGAGAAAGTGAAAAAGTTCTACCCAGGGGAATGGCCATGCTGCAATCCCTTCCCCGTCTCCTTCATTCTCCTCTTCAGATTTTGGCATGCACACACACATAACCAGTGTGTTTTTCAAGTTGCCAAGTTCAGAACCTGAACCACACAGTCGGCCATGTGGGATCTACCACATCATTTGGCTGGACCCTCTTTCTCTCTCTCTCTCTCTCTTTTTTTTTTTCTTTGAGAGAGACTATTGTTATAGGGCAAATGGGCTTGCTGTAGAGATAGAAAGTGAAAAATCACCACCTGGGGCCAGGGGGCTGTGGGGAGATGGCCACACTGAAATCCTGTCTCCTCCATTCTCCTCTCCAGAGTTTGGGCATACATGCACACATGCCTGGTGTGAGTTTAAAGTCATGGTCCCGGACTTGAACTGTGGTCCACTACATGGAAGTTCAGTGCCTTAGTCACTATGCCACTTGCTGTTTCCCCTCCTTTTTTTTTTTTTTTTTTGAATTATAAATATCAGAGGTTGGGACCAGCAGGTGGTGTATTGGCTATGTCACTGGACTCCCATGTAGTCAATCGTGGTTCAAGTCCCAGAGCCAGTGGCTTAAACTCATGCTGGGTGCATATGCGTGCATGCCCAAGATCCTGAGAGGAGAATGGGGGAGAAGGAATTGTGGTGTGGCCACCTCCCTGGGGGGGGATTTCTTGCTTTCTGTCTCTCTGTCTCTCTCCATCTTTCTGGTGAGCACATGTGCCCTATAGAAAAAAACCTCTCTGATATTTATCTATCTATCATCTATCTCTCTATCTCTATCAATCTATCTATCTAATCTATCTATCTATATCTATCTATCTATCTAATCTATCTCTCTCTATATCTATCTGTCTATCTATCTATCTATCTATCTATCTATCTATCTATCTATCTATATCTATATCTATCTCTCTATCTCTATCTCTATCTGTCTGTCTGTCTATCTATATCTATCTATCTATCTATTTCTCTATCTATCTATCTATCTATCTATCTATCTATCTATCGGTTGCATGCATGTACCCCAGAAAGAAAGCACCATCCCAACAGGCCCTTATCATACTGCAGTCCTTTTTTCCTTCTATTCATCCCATCAGAATTCTGGCCACACAAGTGCACATATACCCATTGTGTTTTCCAAGCCTTTGGAAGCAGAACTCAAACCCTGACTGGCCAAGGGGAAACCTGCTTCCTCTGCACAGCACTTAACTTCAATGATACGGGGCTGGCCCTCGTGTTCTTTCTTTTTCCCTCCTGTCCTTTAGACTCTTTCAGGGGGGCTATGAGCTCTGTATGTTGGAGGAGGGACATGAGTAGTTACATAACTATCCCAGTGATGGCAAAACCAGGTTACAAACCTGGGTTGTCTGATTCCAAAGCCCGCACTCTTTCGATACTATGACTATGGAGAAGAGGAAAGAAAATAATCTCTAGACTTTCCCCCTCCCCTTTCAAAGACAGTTTAGCTTCCCGTAGGCAACCAAGCTTTCTTCTGTAGAGGCCCAAAGATTCTCCCAATGGGAGAATCCCATTGGTTTGGGAAATTTATTTGAATCTTCCTGGAATGCCTTTCCTGCTCAAAACTGAGCCCTGACTTAAGATTTGCCAGTGATGGGGATTCCTGTTTTGGGCCTGATACCCTTTTGGCTAAGACAACAGGGAAGAGGCAAGGAAATAAGTGACCCCTAGGTGTGTCCCTACTTTCTAAATTCAACCCCTTGTAATCCCATTTTACTTGTTTGGCCTTGCAGAGATTAATACCAAAAAGATTCCAGTTATTCTGTATACGAGGGGATCATAGAAAATATCACTCGTCACCATAGCCCTTCAGAGTAGAAGAATACTGCATATTGTAGTCCCTTGGGCCTACCTTTCCATTTTGTTTCTTTCACAGTTGATCCTAGAAATGAGACTCAGATAGCTACATAAGGGGCCAGGAAGTGGTGTGATGGTTAAGGCACTGAACTCCTACATGGCTGATTATGGTTCAAGTCCTGGACCTGGTGGCTTGCTTTCTGTCTTCCTGTCTCTCTCTGGTCAGTGCATATGCCTTATCGTAAAATTTTTAAAATAATAATAATGGGGACCCAGCAGATGGTGTAATGGTTCTGTTTCTGGACTCCCCCCGCATAGTCGACTATGGTTTGAGTCCTGGACCCAGAAACTTAAAACTCACGCTGGGTGCGTGTACATGTGTGCCCAAGATTCTGAGAGGAGAATGGAAGAGAAGGGATTGCGGTGTGGCCATCCTCCCTGGGAGGTGACTTCTCACTTTCTGTTTCTTTCTCTGTCTCTCTGGCAAAAGCACATGACCTATAGCAAAAATCTCTCTAAAAAAAATAATGATAAATAAAATTGAATAAATAATTCTTTAAAAAAAGGGTAAATGTAGGGAACCAGCAGTTAGCGTAATGGCTATGTCGCTGGACTCCCACGTAGTCGACCGCGGTTCGCGTCCCGGACCCGGTGGCTTAAAACTCACGCCGGGCGCGTGTGTGTGCGTGCCCAAGATCCCGGGAGGAGAATGGAGGAGAAGGGATTGCGGCGTGACCATCCCCCCTGGGGGGTGATTTCTCGCTTTCTGTCTCTATGTCTCTCTCTGTCT